CCCCCCCCCCCCCCCCCCGGGCACAGTGGAAATTCCCCAGGAGGAAGGGAAATTAAGAACCGCACAGACGTAAAGGTGTGCTTCAAGACAAAAAACAAATCGACAAGGAAATCGACAAGGTGGGGGAAAGCAGCACAGGTTCGGGGTCTTCTGAAGCAAGCACAGGCCCCACAACCAAGATCTAGTGCGGCGGAGAAGCAGCCAGAAGACCAAGCGAGGCCGGGGGTGCCTCTCTGTGCCGGGGAAAAGGTCACTGTGCTCCGTATCCATGGTACCCACGGATGGCCAGGGAGGGCCACATGTACAACAAAGGAAAAGTCCAGCGTCGGCCTTAAAACCAGAGGCAGCTCGGGAATATCATCTTCCAGTTACTCCGTGGCACATCCCTTTATCGACCGATCAACATAACAATGGTGTTGAAAACCACCTTCCCCACCTCTGGTTTATCAGCAGTTCCGCACCACAAGCAGGAGGAAACATTCTGTAGATAATCTACTATCTCCTATCTGACTCCTTTGACTTCTTAATTCCATTCGGGAAAGTGGGCTTTTGAACTTCCAACCAGCTCCTTCCCACTAATCCCTACTCCCTTAACTTGGCTTCTTCTCACATCTACTTCTCTAGAGGACACAAAACTCCATTCTGAATGTGTAAGGACCTCTCTCACAAACTGGTCTCCCCTGCCCCAACTGCCCTTTCGCTTCTGCCTACATTTCATGTCACCATGGGCTCACTTGTTTGTTGAGAACCCACAGTACACAAAGCCAGGTACCAGGCCCCGAAGGTTGTAAGAAATTAGAAAGGTCCTTGCTCTCAGATGTTTATAATTAAGATGAAAGAAAACACACACACACACACACACACACACACACACACACACACACACACACGTGTCCTGGACTGTTCCTAATAACAGAAAAGACAGGAGGGAGGAAAATGGATTGGGGGGAGTGAATTTTGAAGCAGTAACTAGCATAATTGTGAGTTTCTGAGTGGTTACAGCACAGTTCCCAACTTTTCATACAGACATTCAGTCTTCTGGGCTCGGTAAAAGATCTTGGGATGATAAATCAAAGTGGCAAAAGGTACGGTATAAAGGGGAGGGAAAATCCCCCTGCAACAATTAACACGATTCCTCTTTATCAAAAGAAGCCAGTTCTCCATCTGCCTTGTCCTGACGTGGCCCCCGTTCCTCATTAACACTAAGGAGACTCCCGGAGAGCATGCAGAGGGCCTGGCAAGCAACAGGCTGCTTAAAAGGATGCAGTGACAGCATCGCCCCAACCGGGCCACGATCTACTGCAGTGGGCCTCATGTGCCTACAGCTCTCACACACCAGAAGCTTCAGGCCAAAGCAAACAAATGTGGCGGAAGCGGGAGGAATTCTGAGGGTAAGAGAGCAGCTCCTCATCACCAGGGACTGCGTGCTGGCTCCCTGGCTTCCAAACGGCAGGAAGTGAGCCCCCGCCCGGCTCTCCTCTGGTAACCTTCGCTGCAGAATGAAGAAGGGATGGGGCTGGCGGAAGATCGGCACGCTGGAAGGTTCCTCGACAAGCAAATGAGCACACACCGAGAAACTTGAGTGAAATCAGACTGGGGGCAAGCGCGAGTTGGCTTTGCGCGCGGCCGCCGGGACCGGTGGGGGGCAGAGGGGTGCGGGGCTAGTGGGGGGCAGAGGGGTGGGGATGCCGTGCCCTGCCCAGGCAGTGGCGCTCTCTGTTTGGCCGACCTCACTGCAGGTATCAGCCAGACAAAACAAGAAAACTCATCATAGGCTTCCGACCCCACTGAGAATTACCTTTTAAAAAGAACGACCTTTACTTCCACATAAACCTACTGGAAAAAAAAAACAAAAAAACAAAAAAAAACCAAAAAACACCAAGACCAAAACCAACCAAAACACTGAACTTCAAATACCTGGAATTTTCTTTGAGACCCAGAGCTCACCCACGTCTGAAAGAAACACCAGGAGACTTGAGAATTTTCCACCAGGGACAAACCCAACATCTTAAGGGTCAAAGATAAAAACATTTTGCTCTTATCGCAACTCAAACTCCAACACAAAGGTTCCTACTGTCTTTTGTTTCAATACAGACAACCTGTAATGTTCACCCTCGGGTACAGCACGGATATGAAAAGTGAACCTGTTCCCAATGAGCAAGGGTACTAACCTCAGCCTCTTCCAGTCTTCAGAAAAAGGCAGACATTGGTGGTTCTCAACACTGTTTCTTGGGCCCCAAATACCCACCCACTCGGTTCACAAATCCTGAGTGCCTACGGCACACCTGCTCTGTCCCGGCCACCGGCGTGGGACTGCAAACCACACAGTCCACCTTTAGGGGCTCGTGCTCGGGGTGGGGGAGGACACCTAGGCCAGGTGTGGTGGGTACTGTGCGGGGTGCGCTGGGAGGGCCTAATGGGGAAAAGTGGGCCCTGGGAGTGCACTTCCTGAAAAGCTGAAACTGAAGCAGAGACCTAAGTAGGGCTAGTGCAAGTCAGGGGAGGTGCCCCAGGTAGGGGGACGCGGGTACAAAGGCCCCAAGGCCAGGTAAGGAAGACCAACACATTCAGGAAACCAAGGCAGGAGCCTATCTGGCCGAGGCCAGCAACAAGGGGGAAAGTGGAGGCTGAGGAGACGGGAAGAGGTCAGGTTCCAGAGAGTATCGTTAGAGACGGTAAGGATTTTTGACAAACTTCTTTCCCAAGCAGATCTGGACTCATCCTCACTTTAGCGCTGGCATTAAGAGATGGTTTAGAGCAAACACCAGCATCTGATTTATGGATGGGCTCCACAAAGGGCAGGGCCACCTGGTCAGACTCAGTGCTCCTCAGGAGGCAAGCGTGCCAGGAGTGACCGTGCCCAGATCCGGACGCCCGGGTCCCCCGTCTGCCACACCTCGTGTCAGAACTGGCACACGGTGATAAACGGGTGACTGGGTGGCCACCTTGTGCGTAAGAAACCAAGCTGTACCCATTTGGAAACCCTGAATTTAGAAAGAAAACAACACCTGTCACCTGAATGCAGAGCAGGAGTTCCTTAAAAAGTAACTGTGTTAAAAAGTGAGGCCTAGACAGGTATCCAAACAGCTAACAGTTTTTGTCCTGCCCAGCACCTGCCCACTGGATCGCCCAGTCAGCAGTGCGATGTCACCACTGCACACACGGGGACTTCTCAGATGAGCTGGGGATTGAGTCACACCATCCGGGAGGGCACAAGGAGAGAAGGGGCTTTAATCGTAGGAGCCAGTGACAACGGTGGTGCCGTGAAGTCCCAGAGAAGGGGGCACGGGAGATGAGGGTTTTCGATCTCAAAAGAGCACGAGACCCATCATAAAGGCCAGCTCTGCACTGAGGGGGGCGGGGGAACCCCGAGGGCCGGGGCCGAATGACCTGGCCCCCAAACTGCAGGGCTAATGATGCTTTTAGACAAGAGCAAAAGAAATCTGTCCAAGCACATCTATCTGCCTTTTAAAGAAGGCTCGAGCAGAGGCAAGTGGGGCGACTCTGTTGCGAAAAGACTTTCTCAGCTCTAATTACTCCCGATAGCTGTAATTTACACATTTTTGGTGGATAGAAATCGCCAAGATTCACACATTTTCAGACCAACAGCTGCCACTATTAGTGAGCAAATCGGCAAGACTTCTGCACGGTGGCAGCCGGCTGTCTGTGGCATGGCCAGGGGACGACCAGAAGTGCAAGGCGACCAGCCACACCAAGAGGCCTCGATATCCCCGCTCTCCGTGGGGCTGGCTGCAAGGCCAACTGTCCAGAGGCGAAAACCCGTGACCACCATTACAGAAATTCTCGGCCCCCACGTAGAGTACAGAATGGTACGTACCGTGCAGAGGAGGATGCCGGTCTTGGAATGTGAGAATTCTTCAAACACCGCTGTTCTTTCCTACAGAAACAAGGAAAAACAGGGGCTTACAACTCTGAGGTCAGTCCCAGCAAGGCAGGCTTGGATTCCCATAACCCCCCACTTCCCAGGGCTCTGTCTTTAGGCATGGAGAGGCTTTTCCAAGAAAGAGAAGCAGATTCTTCACATCTCATCAAGACCCTGTCCTTACAGGTCTGGACTTCCCAGGCTATTTGAGGGCAGCACCTCTCAGTAAGACAGGGCCAGGGTGGGCACACCCCTCGGGACGGCCACTACCAAGGGCACGCAAGGCCAAAGGCCGCAAGTTACTGTACCCCAGGTTCCCAACTCAGAATTTATTCTAAGCACGAGGTCGAGAGGAATAAAGAACCACCACCTTTCCTACAGGGAAATTTTCTTAAAAACTAATTTTAAAGAAAATTTAAAAATTACAATCACTACGTATCTTAGCTATACAAAATTGTATATATTTTATAAAAATTCTTAAATGTCTACTTATTTTGAGAGAGAGAGAGAGAGAGAGAGAGAGAGAGAGAACGCGTGCAAGTGAGCACAAGCAGGGGAGGAGCAGCGAGACGGGGCAACATAAAATCCGAAGCAGACTCCAGGCTCCGAGCTGTCAGCACAGAGCCTGACACGGGGTTCGAACCCACGAACGGTGAGATCATGACCTGAGCCAAAGGTGGACCCTTCACTGAATGAGCCACCCAGGTGTCCCGGAAATTATATATATGTTTTAAGTCAGAGGAAGAAACTGAGATCACCCCAGCAAAGCAGGCCCCCGCCATGGGCAACACCCTTCGCAGGCACGTAAACACGTGTTTTCTCAAATGGCAGCGTGCTCCTTCCACTGCTACCACGCTGTCGTGTCAGAATACGGACCCCCTCCTGTGCCAATCGACACCCCGAATCACATCGCCTCTCGTGGCTACCGAGGCTTCAGCTGAATGGGCACCGTCGTCCAACACCCCATCCCTAGCAGCTGGGTTTGTCTCCAACTGTTCGCTCTGGCGCCCAATGTTGAGATAAACACCCTCCTAGAGTGTCTGCTGCGTATGTATTTAATTATCCCTTTGGGCTAAAACCCTAAAGGCAGTCCTGCCGCACCGAAGAGCGTCCGCTCGAGAGGCTTGCCGAGGGCACACTCGACGTGGGTTAAGTCACAGCACTGCGAGATGAGACTTGGCCGTGTCTGTCTGTCAGGGACAGGAAAAGGAATATAACCAAGCCACTAAAACTTGGAAAAAAGTGAGGTCTCACCTTCCCAGTGAGGTCTGGCCCAGCCACCGTGCCACTGGGGCGCACATCATTCTGGTCCTTCACCTGCATGTCATTCCGTCACGTAACTGGAACCTCCTGGCACACCTCACTTAGGACAGTGGGTAACGACAACCAGCACAACGAGGGCTACCAAGTCCCGGAGAGTGGCCTACGCCCCACGTGCCTGAACTTCACCCACTCTGCACGACAACCCTGGCAGTCGTACTATCACCACACCCATTTCCAGATGGAGACACTGAGGCACAGAAAGGTGGAGTCACTTCTTGCCCAAGGGACACACAGCAATACCCACACCCAGGGAGTCGTGTTCCAGAGCCAGTGCTCAGACCCTCAAGAGGACAGCTGGATTTGCCCAGCGTGCTGCACGCTCTTTGTAAGGGTCACTGTAGAGTCAAAATCAGAAAATAAATCAGAAAAGTTCATAAAAGCCTTTAAGACACATCCTACGAACGACGTAACACATTCAGCTTTGAGGTAAGGAGAAAATGACCAAACCCGGAGCTTTCCTCACAGCTGTCACGCAGCTACTTTTTTTTTTCTTTCCTTTTTTATGTTTATTTATGGGGTGCCTAGGTGGCTTAGCTGGTTGAGTGTCCGATTTGGGCTCAGGTCATGATCTCACAGCCTGGGAGTTCGGCCCCGTGTCGGGCTCTGTGCTGACGGCTCGGAGCCTAGAGCCTGCTTTGGATTCTGGGTCTCCCTCTCTCTCTGCCCCTCCCCAACTCATGTTCCCTGTCTCTCTCTCCCTCTCTCTCTCAAAAGTAAACATTAAAAAAATTGTTTTAAAATAATAAAGTTTATTTATTTTGAGACAGCAGGAGCAGGGGAGGGGCTTACTCTCTCAAAATAAACAAACATTAAAGATGAAATGTTTTATTTTAAAAAAAAATTTTTTTTTTTAACGTTTATTTATTTTTGAGACAGAGAGAGACAGAGCATGAACAGGGGAGGGGCAGAGAGAGAGGGAGACACAGAATCGGAAACAGGCTCCAGGCTCTGAGCTGTCAGCACAGAGCCCGACGTGGGGCTCGAACTCACGGACCGTGAGATCATGACCTGCGCAGGAGTTGGACGCCCAACCGACCGAGCCACCCAGGCGCCCCAAAGATGAAATGTTTTAAAACAAAACAGATCCCAGCAACTTTTCTCTAATGCTCATAAATGTGGTCAGGGTCACTTCGACCATCAAGGAGACCAAACCAAGGTCATGTAGAGCCGTGGCCAGGGTGACGAGCCAGGCAGACGGGACTGGGACTATTTTAGCTTAGCGTGGGACAAGACACTTGGCCAGTAACTTGAAATACAGAAATACTCCTTCCCACCTTCTGCCATGTCATGAGAAGGCCGGGAAGGCTAAACACTCACTAGACGAAATAAGCAGAACGCTAACCGTTCCGGAAAGAGACAGTAGTAATAATGGCACCTACGTTTGTGGAGCGCTCATGCACCAGGCCCCGTACTCAGCACATCATCTGCGTTGACTGAATGAACCTTCACACCAACCCCATCAAGTGAGTACCGCTATCACCTCCACTTTAGCGACACGCTTTCCTGAGGTCACACTGCCAGTAAAGGCAGAGCCAGGACGAGCGTGCAAGCAGCGCGTCCCAGAGCACACGGCTGTGAGCATCCTGCAAGACCAGTGCCCTCAGAAAGTGAGTCGATCGGACTGAGATCCTTTAACTACAGAGCCTTTTGCATGATCAATGCACATTCCTAGGTCCTTCTGAGTCCACACCCAGCTCCCTCATTGTCCTCACGCCCGCCTGGCACAAGGCCTCTGGCGAAGAAAGACCGAGAGGACGAGGCAACAAAGCTTTATCAAAAACGAAACGCTCTAAGTGGCATTAAATTACGGGATCAACAGAATCCACCGCATCAGGGCCCCTGAAGTTCGTAACATTCACAAGGGCCGGACGATTCAGGAAATTCCATCCGGTCCCGTGGGAAAGAAGAAGCTGGGTCCTTGAGTGACCTTGAGCACGCTCACTTTTCTGAGCCTGAACACTCTTAAATTATTAAACTGACAAAAGCGAGCACGAGAAGGGGGCTGGACCTGATGGCTTTAACGTCTCCCTCAGCTCTAAAGGTGTGTTTTTTACAAACTGGAGCTAGTCAAGCCTTGCTCCGATTCCTGGTTGTCCTTCCCTTGCCCTGACTGAGCGCCCGGTCACCTCCTTCCAGGACAAGATGGCTCCCACTAGCAGGGCCTGCTCGTCCGCCTTCCACGCCGGCGCGCGCCTCACCCGGCTCCCTGCCCATCGCCTGGACGGAACGAGGGCTGCGCCGCTCAGAACCTAAAACCGGGAGGCGTGACTGTCTCCCTCCTGAACGGCAGTATTACTCAGAGCCGAGACACAACTGAGACCCTGAAGCCCCTCGCCCAACCACGGTGTTAAGAGCGAAGGCGCTGTATCTTGTTGACAATGACAGCAGTCGCGCTCAGCAGTACCATATGGGAGCCACAATTTAGCTCCATTAATGCTCTTAATTTGAAGACATCAAGCCCTAATTACACACTGGGTACTAAAAAGGCAAAACCCTTCCCTGGTGCCAGCTACTTAGTGGTACTCTGTTGCCTTAACAGCTGGTTGAGGCAGACTCGGGCCAAGCCGGGCCGCGAGCTCTCTCAGGTGGAAGAGGGCAGCTCCCGGAGCAAGAACACCCGGGAACAAAAGACGCCCTTGCCCGCACCGACGCGGCCGTGCGATCTGTCCCCAGGTCCGGTGGGTCGCCCGCCCGCCCGAGGCTCGTCCCCTCCTCGCCCGGCGGAGTCCGAGGCGGAAGCCAGAGCCGACCCCGAGAGGCCACGTTCACGGTCGTCAGACTCGGGCCCGCTCCCACTCCCAGGGACGGGCGCGAAGCTCACCTCCTGCTCCATGTTGCCGTGCAGCCGCAGGAATTTGAATCTCGTGGAGGCAGATGGTGGCTGCCGTGACGCGGGGGCCCCTGAGCAGGCTGGCAGGGTCCGGAGGAAGAGGTGGTAATAGAACTCGACCAGCTCACAGCTCAAGAAAAAGATGATCATCTTCTGGTCTTTCTCAAACTACGTCGGTACCGAGGGGGAAAGAACCACCACATGTGTTTAAAATTAGGTGACCCTGAAACGAGTACTTCTCTAAAACAAGTAGTCGTGCTGGCCCGGACCTGGAAACCCAGATGACGGACAGCTTTGAATAATCAAAAAAAAAAAAAAAAAAAAAAAAAAAAAAAAAAAAAAAAAAAGTACCACGATACAACATATGCTCCAAAGAGTAGATGACAGGAAAGTGACACGGCTACGACTTCGGCCAGGCTTCCCAAATCTGAGCAGCGCAGATGCGCCGTGGACCGAGGCCGTGCGCTCCCCTTCTTCCCACCCACCCGTGGCTCGCCACACGTGCCCCTGCCTGGCTGGGGCCCCGCAGGCGGTACCTCTGAAGCTTCCTCCTCGAGCCCCTACACCCACTACTTTCCCACACCCGAGAGGAAGTTATCACGTGCATCCAGCAAGCACAGAAATGCCCGAATTCTTAGAGACCAGGAGCACAGGCTCCCGTGTCTGCCGGTATGCAGCCGGTTTCTGCCACCTGTGATGCTCCTGGTCCTCCGTCCCAGCAGAGGATTCAGGTACACTTCATGTCGAATGTGACAGCTATCACTGACCTCTGGGTCTTTACCACAACCCCAGGATGGCTGACTGGTAAAGTCTGCATTTGAAACACAGTTACAGTGGAAAAATGTGTGTGTGTGTGTGTGTGTGTGTGCGCACGAGAGAGAGAGAGAGACAGAGAGAGAGAGAGACAGAGAGAGAGAGAGTGAGCATCCCTCAATTCACTGCTATCAACGCCAGACACAGAGAGAACAGGACCTTCTTCCCTCAACTGAGCTGGTCCCAACCTTGCACTTCTGCAGGATGAAGGCCGCCAGGGAGACGAGCTTCAGTTTGCTGGGAACCAGCGTCACATGCTGATCAAGACTTCCTGGAATCGCAAAGCTGTCCAGCTCATCGTCAGGTGGTAGAGGGGAAACCTCGGGAAGTGTGCCTCGCTCCGGGTCAGACTGCCCGTGGTGCTGATCCAGGACAGAAATCTGGACCGGATCGAGCAAGCTGATATCAGCCAGCCGCGTCACACCTTGGAGCAAAGGTGAGATAGGCAAACACTGTGAAACCAGTCCCGTGTGGGCACCCCACACCCCACGTCCCACGCTTATGAAGAAGCTCCTGTGGGCAATACCTGGGCAGCAAGATCTGCCCTCTGGTCAACAATCGGGCGGGGGTGGTGGGAGGAGGGGGCCACTGCTTCTACACCAGCATTTCTAAACTCTGGCCTAGGCAGGCCACTGAAAGGGACAGGAGCAGCTGTCTCCTCCCCACCCTGAAAGGATTCTACACTCAAGTAAGTTATGAAAACCCTGATAAAAGGGTGTCACGGGATTCCTTAATCACAGGGTGTTATGGGTTTACAAGGCTTCTCAGGATCTTTGCTGTGCTCGCATGCACCATGAATTTCTAAGACAAGGAAGAAATATGTGGCGTTTCCCAAACTTCTGAGCACAGAATCATGGACTTTCTCTTAAAATGAAGGTTACTTAAGACACACTTGGCGAACTGGTATGCGTGTGCTGCAACAGGGCCAGTTTAACAAGCCAGACCTGAGAACGTGACAGCGGGGCTGTGTTGTGTGGGTGACTCTGGTGGCTGTGACTTTTCCAAGCCGTAGGGCCCCATCTGTAAAGGAGAGCTCAGAACGTCCATCTCGTGAGGACGGAAAGACAGAAAGGAACTTAAAGAGGTTCAGGGCTCTTCAGCAGAAAGGTGGGCTGAGAACACTCACAATAAAAAGCTCACGAAGCCTCTGGGTAGACGGGAGTCAGCCGTCACCTTTCCTCTCACCCCGCCACGAGCACCGGGAACACTCGCCTTACAGAGACAGCTCTGGACCTGCCCTGCCCTTCCCCCCACACCCCGGGGAGCATGGCAGAGCCTTGCATGACTGGCAGAGGGAGGCTGGGCCTGCAGGGCAGGGGTCCGGAAAGGCAGTCCTTCAGGGACACCGCCCTCCTGACCCTCTATCCCCATCGCTGAGAACCACCGCGGGCAAACAACGCCCATCACATCTAGATCGTTCCTCTTAAGAACAAAGAGCGTGTCTTTTCAACCCACCTTCTGTGAGTGTGGCCGACAGCAACACGTTTTGTCGTTGCTGGCACTCGGCATTCACGGCATTGAGTATCACTGTGATGTCCTTTTCAAAACCCAAATCCAGGATTCTGTGGTTTCAAGAGAAGGGATTTGACTCCGCATGCCAAGTGAAGGCTGCAACAGAGCACAAACGGCTCGCTGCTCCTACCGTTCACGCTTCTGGGCGAGGCTCACCTGTCTGCTTCATCCAAAATCAGCCACCGTATCCGACTAAAATGAATGTTCTTTGTGGATTTGATATGATCCACCAGTCGCCCAGGAGTCGAGATAAGGATATTTATTCCTTTGCGGAGTCTGTTTAAAATTACATATCATAAAAGTAAATCAAATGGGGCTGTATCAACAGAAAACACAGGAAGAAGGCACAGGAGGCAGATTCATTTGTAGCACCAACGTGCACGGCTTGAAGTCACGGCAAACAGGATGACAAATGGATACGAAGATACATTTGAGTTTCCATTTCCCTCAAAGTTTCTCTTGTCTAGAAGGTGATTATTAAGATCCGACGTCGCATTAAAATCATAAATGCAGTAACTCTGAAAAGAATCTTTACTGTATAATCCGGTGCCCTTTACCTGGTTCGTGGATCCTTTCTAGGACATTCCAGAAAGATGGTCACCTAGCCTGTTCGTTCTTAAAGGTTTCTGCGCCATGGAAACTCCAGTCTAAATGAGTTACCGCAGGCCAATGTGGTCTAATGGCTAGAATGGTTTCTTATACTGAACCTTTGTTTGTAGCCTCCATACAACGGGCACCTAACTTTGTCCCACAGACTAGGGAGAGTAAATCTCAGTTCTTACTCCCAAACACCCTTTACTCCATATTTCCATAGCAATACAAGCTTCTAATTTTTAGCTGAGTGTATTTTCCAGCCTCTCTTGAAGTTTGGTCGTATGCCTATGTTCAAGCGATGGGATAAAAGAATATGCAAAAACCACAAATATCTCTGGAGGGAGGGGGGAGGATTATCTTTGTTCCCGCTGGCAGGGAACAAGATGTAATGGCTGGAGCTCTAGCAACTCGCTAAGACTATGGAGTACACTTAAAAACGGAAGCCTCACTTAATGGCACAAAAAGGCAGAAGGAACCTGGTTCCTGACACCAGAGCTTCATGCAGGCCCTGGATGCGTTACCGTCAGGCTTCTTAGATGTGAAAGGCAAATACAACCGCCATATTGTTTGTGCCACTGCTGTTTGTTGTTGTCGTTATTTACAGCTGAACCAAATCTAACCAATACCTTTAGGTTTCAAGTTTAGTATTTACTCCTCAGTTACAAACTACACACAGAGCTGGGTGTTACTACTAAGCGTTAAGCTACAATACAATAAAAATGTTTCAAAAAGAATCCAGACAATGTGGGATTTATCTGTGGCAACGTTTTCTCCTGAAATTACCCATCACCAGTTCCTATACAGAATTAGGAATCAGTGTTTTGGATATACAAAGCAAAGCGTAAAGCATTACATGTGAGTTTAGTATCTTGCCTTTGTAGAGCCAAATGACAAGCCCCCAGACTCCCAATGTGCACAAAAGAGAGTCACCGAGGGGGCTGGATACCAAACAAGGGGGACCAAGGGATGCTGGGCGGGGAGAGAGAATGTTAAGCGGGTGGGGACTATGGTTACCGACCACGTCGGAAGGGAACCTCTGTGGGCTCGTCGGTATTTCATAAGACAGCACCGCCTACAGGCGACAGGTCCCCGCTGCCTCAATCTGTCCCTCCGCTCTGGGACTAGGAAGCACAGAAGGAAACAAGACTCTCTCCAGGTTTAGAAGGACCAGGTCTCATTGAATAGGAAGGCAGAACAGACAGACTCAGACAGGACGGACCATAAACCAGGCTCCGCATACCTGGCCTTTTCGGATTTCTTCCTCTCTCCGCCCATGAGCACCCCAGGCACGATCCAGGTGAACGGCTACAGGAAGACACCAGATGAGAATCAGAGCAGAGCCCCCTTCCCTGCAGACACAGAGACCGAATCCAAGGTCTTCTCCCCTAAAGACGCTGGGAGGGAAGACCTAGGCTTCACTGCAGACGCTGTCACTGTGCAGATGCCATTCCCGGGCATCGCCCGCCCCAGTGACGGGCAACAGCCACTTAAGTCACAGCTCCGGAACTGGCTCCCGGTGCCGTGAGAGGAACAGAGGCTTTCTCAGGGATTCAAACAGCTTCTCTGCCTTGCCCCGTCGAGGCCGAGTGGAGAACACATTTGACCTAAGCACAGCCCTTCCTTACTCCCCACCCCTGACAGAAGGAAGGACAGATCAATTCTCGGCTTGGCAGGCGCTGGCTCTCCTTTCTTAAACCCGACGTGCAGCTTTCTGGTAGCTTTCCACGTGCTCACTTCGGTTATACCTGTGAGTCTCCACGCGCGCCTTGTTAGGGACTATGGTGAACACATTACAGGACTCTAAGCACCAGGCAACCCCAGTAATCTAAGCTAGAAATCGGCAGTTGGTCCACTTCGGATCAGTCAAAACCTACAAACTATACCTGGGGAGAGCTGAGACGCCCAAGCAACAAAGCGAAATTAAAATAATTCCTTGCTTTTTGAAAACAAAGGTAAGACTGGCAGACTTCTCTTTTCTCAAAAAGTCAGGAAAAAAAGGTAGAAAACTGGACTCGCGGCCCGCCTTACCTTAAGCAGTTTCTGGACAGTGTTGAAGCTTTGCAGAGCCAGCTGTGAGGAGTGAGCAGTTACAGATACTGAGCAAGGTTGTTCCCACCCGCCCCCCCTCCGCCCCCACCTCCCCAATCTTTTAAAAAAATTTAGACAACATGAAGTGATCAGATCCCAACCTGGACCTTAAGTTAAGATTTCAGGAAAAAAAAAAAAATCTGATCCACAGAATCTTCTCAGAGAATATACCTCGCTCTCAGACTACGTCCGAAAGCTGCCAGTTTGGAGACTTGGGCAGAGAGGCCGCGTCCATTCCTTGGACACACACAGAAACAGTGTTGTGTGCTCCCTCTGCTGGCTCAAATTCCCAGAGTGCCACACAGAGAACCACAAGCCTACGGTGCACGTGGATGGGGAAGCGTGCAGCATCGCCCTGGACGTGCCTCTCTTTAGGAAGAGAGGAAAACAGAACGTGCAGGAAGGAGTCACCTGAAGGAGCAATCGACAGGCGAGCCTCTGGGCACCTTGCTTTCAAGGTGGCGTCAGGTATCCTTCAAGTACGCCCCACGGAACACCGAGAGACGGTCACCCCCGAGTTTATTAAAGGAACAGAATCTAACAAGCCCAGTGGAGACCAGAGGAAGTGAAAATTAACGTAGGTTATAACCATTAACCACCATAAGAAAGCCTCAACACAATCCCTTTATCCAAGCGCATGTACAGAGTTCCCACATGCTTAGTATTCACGACGCGTCCCAGGGAAGTAGCAAGTTTGCCGCTGTGAAAATTTAAATAGCTCCACGCCTGCTCCTTCCCAGGACTGAGCTGAGAAAGGGCACTGCAGGCTGTGTAAGGCTGTGTTAACAGGCTGACTGGAAACCTCCATCTCCGCGATCAACTCTCCGCAAGGAAGTGATTAGCATTTGATAGAGAAAACCGGTGCCCTAATCTACACTTGCCTCCGTAGGCAAATAAACTAGATCAGACAGAAGAAAAACGTCGAGAAGCTTAACTTGCAAGAACACGTAAAATTCTTGGTACCGTGGCCTCTTTTTAAAAAAGTTCACTTTAGGGCTGACTGCTCTAATTTTTAATTAAGCTATAAAAGAAACAAAAAAGTCTGAAAATGTCATTATTTTAATTCCTTTTAAAAGGACAGAGGCTTATCGTGTCATTCGTTTCTAGACACCAGGGAAATGCTTTTCCATACTCAGCTTATGATTTTCACAGAGTCTTTGAATTTTTCTCCTTAACAGGAACCAGAGGGATGGTCCCAGGCCAAGGGAAGGGTGCAGCAGGGAGAAAAATGGTAAAACCCACTTTTAAATTCGAACGGGTCTTACTCTCAGAAGGAAAGCACTTGCTCAAAAGGCGTCCTGACAGTGAGGCTGCTTACCTCTCTCGTTGGCACCAGCACCAGGGCATAGGGGCCATCACTGCGCTGTGGACACAGAAGGAAAGAAACGCCATGAGTCAATGAACGAAGGTCACGGGACTCCGGTGGACAGAACCCAAGGGCGGCCGCTCGCAAACATCAGAAGCGTCTCATGAGAGAAGGGGACGACGATGCCCACTGCTCTTCTCATGCAACCTTGTTCTAAAGGTTCTGCCTCGGGGCGCCTGGGTGGCTCAGTCGGTTGGGCGTCCAACTTCGGTTCAGGTCACGATCTCACGGTTCATGAGTTCGAGCCCCGCGTCGGGCTCTGTGCTGACTGCTCGGAGCCTGGAGCCCGCTTCGGATTCTGCGTCTCCCTCTCTCTCTGCCCCTAAACCACTCGCATTCTGTCTCTGTTTCTCTCAGAAATAAATAAACATTAAAAAAAAGTTTTTTTAAAGGTTCTGCCCCATGCGGTCAGACAAGAGAAAGAAAATACGTATAAAACTGGAAAGTAGGAGACAAAACAGTCATTATTAGATGACAGTTTATCCTAACAAACAAAACAAAAATCTACTACAAGAAAAGACAACTCAGTCAAGTAGCTGAATGCAAACTTAATACACACAAATTACAGCCTTCTGACATAAAAAAGTTAGAAAATACAATGGAGGGGGGAATCACCCAAGAGCAGCAGCAGGAACAACAGGAAGGCTGACAAAAAATGTACAAAATGCTTGTGACAGAAACTGTAAAACCCTTCTGAGGAGCATAAAGTAAAATGTGAATAAATGGGAAACCATATCCTATTCTTGGATAAGATGGCTCCTTATCACAAATGAGCCAATTGTAAGTCAACCCATTAACGTAACGCGACCCTAAGAAAGCTGCCACATATACACACGCGCATATAAAATAACACATATGGACAAGCTGACTTCAAAGTTCCTATGAAAAATCAACGTGCAAGAATAACCAAAACATGTCCGAAAAACAACAGATGTTAAAACGATTTAGAACTACCATAATATAAATAATGGACAGCAGCATACAGAGATCACAGCAGCAAACCGAGTCTAGAACAGAATCAAATACATGCAGAATTGTATGAAATAAGGTGCATTTTGCATCAGTAGAGAAAAGATAAATTGTTCAGAGACTTCACAGGCAAACAAAGTTAGAGAAGTAAAGTTGGAATTAAGTTGGCCATTTTCTAGATGACATAAATCTCAGAAACTATACAACATCAATACGTTTTATAACATAAAAACTTTTAACTTTAGAATGGGCAAACAGTGACTAAATAAAATCAAGTAATAAACGGCAAAACGAGGGGAGAGAAAGGGCCAGCTTCCTTAGTTCACAAAAGGCCTATAATTCAATGAAAAAATGAAAACAAAAAAGACCACAAGGACTTATATAGAAAAATGGAGACAGGACACAAGTAGCTAATTTATGGACGTGAGAATTCAAGACATGGCTTTTACACATGCAAAGAGATGCTCAACTCCACTGTCAAATGAGCAAAACTTAAGCAGCCGATGGTGTCACTAGGGCACGGGTGAGCAGGGACTCCTGTACCGCCGTGGGGAGAGCGCAAAGTGGCTTAACCCATTCGAAGTTCAGTGCGGGGGGGCGGGGCGCCTGGGTGGCTCGGTGGGTTAAGCATCTGGCTTCCGCTCAGGTCATGATCTCACGGTTCGTGAGTTCGAGCCCCACACAGGGTGAGGTTCATGAGCTTGAGCCCCACTTCTCTCTCTGCCCCTCACTCACTTGCACCCCCCCTCTCTCTCTCTCAAAAAAAAAAATAATAAAAAAAAATAATAAAGTTCAATTGTGGCATTATCCACCGAATGAAAATGCCGCTCCCACTGTCAGTGTATCTTTAAAAGATACACCCGTAAGTGTACGTAAAAAAGTAAACTATTTTACAGACTGTATTTGTAACAGTCTCGTTTGTAGTGAAATACTGGATGGAAGGGAAGTCCTACCAGTGAGGGGCTGACGCCCTAACTCGGGGTACCCCCATGCAGTGGGACACCAGACGGCCGTGAAAAAACAAGGCACGTGGGCACGGTACTGCTAAGAAGCCATCCCAAAGCGTGTTAAGTGAGCACCAACTAGCAAGGCACAAACATCATGTACAGCAAGCAACCTCCTGTGTTATCGCCCCAAACACAACAGAAAGAAACACAGAAGCTCTGGCTGAGGGGGAAGGGGCCTGTGCGCCCCCGCACTCGCTCTCTCTGCAGAGACCAGCCCTGGGAGGGCCACCAGACGAGCACAAGGGCATCGCGTCCCCAGAGAGCCCTGCCATGCGGGCGACAGGGACTGTGAGGACTGACTTCTCACCGTGTATTTTTTGGTACTCTTTTAATCTTGTAACGCGTACACTGTATCTAAAAATATACGTGTAAAAAAACCCAAAAAGTACCCTGAGAAAGGCCCCAAAGTCAGTGGTGACTTGCACCTCCAAAGTGCTCACAGACACTCAGGACTTAATCAAAACCGTGTCAGGGCAGAAGCTAAGCGTGGATTTAGAACAGGTTCAATTACAAGTATGGATTTCATGTTTTGCATTGGAAACATTTACCCACGAGGAGGAAAGGATTTGGAACTCAAACTAGAGCCGCCTATCCTCGACGTCAAGTCTGCAAGGCTGCGCTGAGGCCCAGGCAAGAACGGTAAACATGTTAGTACAACGGTATCAGCGTGCCACAGTGTGACGTTACGAGATTCTGACATTTCAAAAGGTGTTACTACATACAGAAGAAGAAAGAAAAATCAATTCCTCGCAGGGCAGAAGTGAGCAAAGAAGGATGGTTGTGTTGTTTAAAAAAAAAAAAAAAAAAAAAAAAAAAATCAGAGCCCAAATAACTGAAAGAGCGAAAACACAGAAAGCCAATCCGTTCTCATTCCATCGCCAAAGTAATTTAAGACTCTGCTGGGTGCCTTGAGCTTCCTGCTCCCTCCAGATCGGTTTTTTACAGGTCAAATCATTTCACAATGAACTCCAAGGGTCCCAATTGAATATTACTTGAAACGAGTGAATTAAATTTGAGCTTAGAGAACTCCTTCTACAGAAAACTTCAGTCTTGAATAGAATGAGCCGTTACTGACATTAAAATACACGCAGCAAAGAAAAACCACCACGTGGCTTGTGAACGTCTCTGTAGAGCAGCAGAGAAAATCACTGCCTTGCAATCCGGCCCCGCGCCCACGTGGTGACGCTTCCGAAGCGTCCGCGTGCGTCAGCTCGGAAGCTCGCGGCAACCCTGGCGGACACGCGCGCTGCCTTCGGCTCCACCCCACCGGTGACGTCACTGAGGCACAGAGGGATGGACCGATTTGCCCGAGGACACACTCAGACCCAGGACGCCACCTGCCTCAGGTACGTGATCCCACCTCTCTTGTCCTCGGTCCACGGGCCTATGAGACGAGACGGTGGGGCTGGAACCACAGGACCCGTTCCGGCTCAAATAGTCCCAAGCTCTTCAACGATACGTGTGTAAATAACAACCCGCTGCTCTCAGGGAACTGTCCTAACACGTATAAACGGATGAGACTTTACCACGTCGTTGCAATACTTGGCCTTTCCTCTCCAGCTGGGTAGCGTACAACGCCAAGTCCTTTGTATGAATTATCTTACTGTGAGGTGCCCAATGGGAAGAAAACATCGGTCACCTGTAGGAAATACATTCCTCACTCATCCACGTCAGAGGAAATCGGTATCAGCAGTTCAAGTATCTTTCTTGTCTCTTCACACGCGCGCACACACACAGTACTATTTATGCAGCCAGATCATCCAGTGCATACTGTTTTATCCTCTGCCCTTTTTTTTTTTTTTTTAACACTTCATTTATTCCATTTTTGGACAGAGAGACAGAGCATGAACGGGGAGGGCAGAGAGAGAGGGAGACGACAGAATCGGAAACAGGCTCCAGGCTCTGAGCCATCAGCTGTTAGACTCCGACGCGCTCGAACTCACGAGACGGACGCTGAGATGCGGACCTAGTAAGTCGGACGCTTAACCGACTGCGCCACCCAGGCGCCCCTATCCTCTGCCCTTTTTAAAAAAAAATTTTTTTTAAACGTTTATTTATTTTTGAGACAGAGAGCAGAACGGAGAGCGGCGAGAGGATGACGGAGAGTAAGACAGGAGCGGAGAGTGATCCCAGGCTCAGGTTCTGTTCGTCAGAGCTGAGCTCGCGGCCTCGAATTCAAGGACGCAGATCATGACGGAAGTCGGACGCTCAACGGACTGAGCCACCCAGGCACCCCTCCTCTGCCCTTTTTTGATTAACATGTAAAAACACCTGTCAAGTTCACAAAGAGTAACTGAAAAAAATACCAGTTTTAATGGCTATGTAAGGTTTCATCACTTGGATGTTGTATAGGATTTCGGGGTTTTTTTTTTTTTTTTTTTTTAATCTTTACTTTTTTTTTCAAGAGAGAGACAGCGGAAGAGCTAGCGAGCAAGCACGAGTGGAAAAGGAACAGAGAGAGGGAGACACAGAATCCGGAGCAGGCTCCAGGCTCTGAGCTGTCAGCACAGAGCCCGACGCGTAGGCTGAACTCAGATCTTAAGTGATCTGACCTGAGCTGAAGTTGGATGCTCAACCGACTGAGCCGAAGTCGGATGCTCAACCGACTGAGCCACCCAGGCACCCTGGACTTCGGTTTTATTGATTTAAAATTATGTAAATAAGTTTTAAGTAAAATTTAAATATTCACTTTGAAATGAATTTAAGCTTACAAAAAAATTACACAGATTATACGAAGAACTCTCTTATATCCTGCTCCCAGCTTCCTTAGGCAGTATCGATTCTCAAAATCCCAGTACAAGGATCAAACCCAGGAAATCAACGCTGATAAGCTACTATGAGTGAATCTATCTACAAACTGTATTCCGGTCTCACTGACTGACTTACTAACGTCCTTTCCCCAGACTAGAATCCGATTCAGAACCACGTGGTTGCATTTGGCCACTACGTCTCCTTCACCTCTTTTGACCAGGGGCAGTTCTTCAGCATTTCTTTATATTTATTTTGTTTTGTTCTTCTGTGACCATAATGCTTTTGAAGAGCAATGGTCAGTCACGTTGCAGAACATCTCTTGATTTGGGTTCGTCTGATGCTTGCTCATGATTAAATTTGGGCCAGAAAGCCACAGAAGGGACGTCGTGTCCTCTGGGCACCTATCTGGAGGGAGGTGCGTGAGGTGAGCGCATCTGTGCACTGGTGATGCCCACGCTGACCACCGGGGTGAAGGCGGTGACAGCCACTTCCCCATCGTAGAATTACTGTCTTCCCCTTTGGGACTAAGAGGGGTCTTGCAGGGAGATGCTTGGAGACCCAGTAAACCTCCCAGTTTTCATGCCGCTTTCGTCCACTCCTTTCAGGGCGTGCCGATCCCTGTGGGGGCGGTACAACCAAGGCACCTGCCAGATGGCGACATTCTACTTCCGTCACTTCTGTGGATGTCCGGAGGAAGTCTACTGGAAGGAAGGCCTTTCCTTCTCCCGTTTCTCTATTTATTCAGTAACTGATTTGTATCCGTTTGTCCTGGTGGGTATAGGTTTTAGCCTCTGGGCTGCAAACCAATGCTATCGCTACTTGTGTAGTCCCTCGGTACCAGGTAGGCTTGGTCCACGCCTAACTCTGTGTGTTCACACCGAGAAGAAAAGTAACCAACCAGCTCTTCTCAGCTGCTTGTGCACCCACCTCACCTCCTATTTCAGGTCTCGCCCTGTCCTTCCTACTGAGGATAACCAGGGACATATCTGTGGGACTCTGGGCGGGGTTTTGAGATGATGCCTGCGCCTCCGGAGCCTGGCAGTTAACTGGCCTCCTGGGGAACCCAATTCTGGCCCCTTTGGCCCAAACGTAACTAAATGTGCCTCCCAACTAAAGACAAGACTCCACCATTGTTCCCTAGCCTCCATTTCTTTCTGTAAAATTAGATGAACAGAAATACCTGTAACTCGTTGGGCCTGGGGAGGTGGGGGGGGGGGGGGGGGGGGGGGGGGCGGCGGCGGCTAGGATTTGAGAAGATGACACTTTGGCAAAGCATCCGGCACAGTGTATGACACACAAGGAGCATTGATTTTACAAACGCTCCCTGTTGGATGTGCTGTGATGATTACAAAATACAGTTATTCTATTCTACTCTGGGCACAGTCTTCAGATGCAACATGTTTGTAGGACATAAACATCAGTGAATGAATTAAAAAAGAGGCAAGAAAACAACGCTAACTGAAAACAGAGTCTTTTGGTCCCAGTGGTCCTGCTTTGGTTCAGTTCCATGGTTGCTTATGTAACATGAGCAGTAAAAGAAACACACTATACTCACCTGTATTTTTGATTTCATTGCTTGAAGAGACTGGACCACAGGGATACAGTAGGCAAGCGTTTTACCTTTTAAAAAAGTACAGAAGCAGTTAAAATCACAGCCCCTAGAAGATGGAGGGAGGGCGAAGACAGTAAAGAAAATGGTCTCTGCTATCTTTGGGCAGCACTAAAAGCCAGGGACAGGAAAAGTGTTAAGTCCTACAACCAAGAGCGGTAAAGACAGCATCTGCCCCCCTGCCATGACTCCCAATTTTGCTCTGTGAATGCACTACTTCCAAAAACACCCTGCAGCTTCAGCAACTTTCTCCAGCCAAGAAGGGAGACACTGACACATTTCCCAAGTTACACAAAAGCTCAACTGGATGACTGTCCTTCAAAGCCAGAAAACTCCTCCTCTAAAGTCATCCTTAATCACTCAAATGAGCCTCCTGGTCAAGTGAATGATGTGGGCAGCACCGAGGTGTTTAGAAGCCAGTCTGAACCCCAGAGCTAGCCTCTATAGACCAGGAAGAAACCAAGGAATGGCAAAAGCCACCAGGCGGGTGGCTGAGCTGGGGGGAGTGGAGAACAGCTGATTAGCCCCATGCAGGGCACAAGAGGGTCACAAGAACACGTCTACAGACAATGTGGAAGAAGCAAAATCTGTGCTCCACGTTGCAGCAAAACAACTAGCATCCAATCAGTGCGTGCTCATGTTGAACCATGCTTTATTCTAAGAAACTATTTATCCCCCACTGGAGGGAGGACGGGCAGCTCGAGCCACAGACGGTGGACTGGGCAGAGCCCTGACAGAGGCTCTGCAGAGCGAGAGCAGAACCTGGCCACGTCCGGATCACTCCTGATCACAGCACCATCAGCCACCCCCTTCCTTTCGCCGCAAGAACAAATTCAGGGCCCTAATCAAGAGAAGCATGGCCTCCCCTCCTCCCCCCAGAAAGCAAAGCAGCCGCCACCACAGACAGCCATCTCGCTACGTGACCTACAAGGTGACTGTGGCCTTGGTATCGGGGCAAGAAGGACAGAAGTTAAATGATGACTGACCTGAGCCCGTCTGAGACCTCACCAGAGCATCTCTGCCCTCCAGCAACACGGGAATACTTTGCTTCTGAACGCTTGGGCCACCCAAAAGAGAGAACACATGCTCGTATGTAATGTTTTACCCTGTCGTGTTTACAGGCAGAGAAGCGGGACACACAGATCGCAACCGCCCCCACGCGTCGCTTGTCTGCCAACTGCCACCCTGGAGTATCGAGACATTCGAGCGAAGCTGCTGAGGAGCTTCTGACGGCTGGAGGAGTAAAACCTCAATTAAATTTCTGGAACTCAGTTGAAAATGCTGAGGCAAGCCAGAGCCTGGCCATTCTGGCAGACTGATTTAAAAAAAAAAAAAACAAAAACAAAGGGACAGGCGTGGTGACAAGCTGGAGCTACCACGAGAGCATAGCACACATGCACCTGCCTCCCGTGGCAGACGTTGTGGAAAGAGTCCCACGCCAAAGGGTACAAGAAATCTTGTGAGCCATCCTGATAGCCTGGAGCTCTTCTCACTCTCCAGAAAACCAAGGTGCACTAGGATGTGTCCACATGTGCATTTAAAAACAAACAACAAAAAGGGCACAGAATTCATTTAAATTTGGTTGATGAAACTGAATAAAAAAATTGGGGAGGGGGCTCCTTATTTCACTCTTCAATACTCATCAATTTGCACCTATAAGTAAAATGTGATGACTAATAAAATGTAAACACGCATAGGTGCTCACAAAAAGGAAGTTCACCTCTGCTCTACGCCTTTTACTGTTCCGTTTTCCAGAACCGTCACTATTAAACATCCAAAAAATTTTTTCAATATCCCACTCTATCCAATCAAATACCTACTCCTGTCTTTTTGGTTGCCTCTAATTCTTACTAGTAAACAATGACATGAGAAATTCTGCATCGTGGACATGTTATTCTCAGGCAAGCATGGACGGCAGCAGGATCACATGGAGACCAGCATCTGGACCAGTTTAGAGCTGAGAACAGAAGTAGATGGGGACTCAGCCTCTCCATTTAACAAGTGAGGGAACGGAGTGGCTAAGTGATGTGTCAGGCCCTCGATGGGCAGCAATCTGGCAGTGTTCTCTAACACCAAGACAAAATGTGCTCTGTATGCCACAGATAATTCAGATCTCATCTGGTTATAGCCATCCAAGTTTTAAGAAAATCAAGACTGGCCTCGAACCCTTCCTTACCTGGTCATGCTAGTCATGTTTAAGACCGTATTTATCGTGGAAATCTAAAAGAGAAAACAAAAAATAAATATTTTTAACTTCTGACTTTTTGGTAAAAACCTATTTAATGAAAAAAGAAGATACTGGGAAAAAACTGATGACTATGTTCAAGTCAAGTTCTTCCAACCCAGTGAGTCTCGCCTGGGGGTGGTTCTGCTCCACCCCTGCGCCCACACAGGTGGCAACATCTAGAGAGATTTTTGGTTGCTACAAGTGGGGCCAGGGTCACCACTGGAATCAAGTGAGTAGAGGCACGGGTGTTGCTGGACATCCTATCACACGCAGGACAGTGCTCATGACAAAGAGTTATCCATCCCCGGGGCGCCTGGGTGGCGCAGTCGGTTAAGCGTCCGACTTCAGCCAGGTCACGATCTCGCGGTCCGTGAGTTCGAGCCCCGCATCAGGCTCTGGGCTGATGGCTCAGAGCCTGGAGCCTGTTTCCGATTCTGTGTCTCCCTCTCTCTCTGCCCCTCCCCTGTTCATGCTCTGTGTCTCTCTGTCCCAAAAATAAATTAAAACGTTGAAAAAAAAATTAAAAAAAAAAAAAAAAGAGTTATCCATCCCCAAATGCCCACAGCACGACCCTGCTCGATGTCCCTGCTCAAACCCATAGGTGCGAAAACAGCTTACGTAAGGCACCCTGAAGGACTAAGTGAGCTGTGACCACAGGAGCAAAGGAAAACCAGATTCCCTAAAAGTTAACGCATTTTTCTCTCCTTACTCATACATAAATAAGAGCGGAAACTTCACTCATGGTTAAATTAAAAAAAAAAAAAAAAAAAAAAAAAAAAAAAAAAAAAAGGGTCCATCTGTTTGTAGAAAACGTGTGTTAAAACAGCCCCGTCTTCTTCAATTCTTTGTAACACGCTACCCTTGAGATGAAGATGCCAGCTCAGTTCCCTCTCCTATCCAGATCAGCCTCCGCATCCCATCTACCCATGATTAGGAGCCTGTCCTAGGCACACTAGGTGAACTGTCTGGCCTAATTTGAATTAGGTGAGGAGAGTGTTTGGTTCCTTAAAAAGTGGGTGCAGATGGAGGTTGGGACAGTGAAGAGTAACGTAAGCTCACTGGGATTATCCCAGAAGAGCATCTCATCAGTCTGACTTCACTCAGGTAGCTGGGAGCAGAAATAACCACTCTTTTTCTTTCTAGACATTCCGAATGAATAACCACATCGAAAAAACCGACCACACGAGACACTGAGAGATACTTACTAAATGTGGGTGGAGGTCCAGTTTGTGAAAAGCGTCTGAGGTGAACACCTGTTCTTGCACCTGCTTTACTACAGGTCTGCAAATGACGAACAAAACCCGGGCATCAGTTCCAATCAACAGAGCAAAAGGCGGAATACACTTCACTCCTCTTATTCCCGAAGTGCATCTGTGCCTGAACATACCTGTGGAGCTCTGGAATCTCGGGGTTGTTTTTAAATAACGAAGAAGTCCTAATGCATGGTTTCTGCTCTCGGTTTTTACCGCTCACACCAACCAAAGATTCATTCGGAGAAAATGTTTTCTGTGCCTTCCCCTTAAAAGTCCTTTGTGCTTCTTCAGCAGCAGCTTTCTTGGCTGGGAGAAACGCCACCGCGCTCCTCCGCTTCGCTGGGGGAGCCTCACTGGATGCTCGGTACTTTCTTTTGGTAGCCTCTGCGTGCTGCGTTGTTCCCAAAAGGAAAGAGCGACAAGAGATGCATTAGTCCATGAAGACAGACGTCACAGTGAAGCCTGACTGCCCACAGAATTGCCTCTCTCCCTGCAGAGATCATTATGCCCCATATGTCGAGCAACAGTTTAGGGTCTGCAATCAGATTCTTTGACTCAGCTTTTTTTCCCCCCCAAAAAGAAAAAAAAAGAAACCAACCCCTCCCCCCCCCCAAAAATCTCAGCTCATTCATCCCCTAGACTTCACCATCCATCTTAACTATCAACTCAACCAAGATGAGGGTAAGGATAAAGAAGGGAGAAACCTTTTGGGGGCTGAATATTACCAAATGGGAGTCTCCGTTAAGGGAAGAGAGAACCCACCTTGTGAAGTGTGCCCGCTAGATCAATCCGTTTCCCTGGATGTCCATCTACACAAGAAGAACAGGGGAGGGGAGCGCATCCTCTCTCTCCACCAACAAAGCCTGTTGGTGACTATACATGGGAGGCTGCATCCCAGCTCATGCCCAGGAAGCGGAAACCTTCATTACCGCTCTACCCCAGAGTGCTTGGATCGCTGTCACTCTCTCCCCTCACGCTGCTCCCCCAGATTCAGATGGCTTGGAGACGTTTCCTACTCGCCGTTTCCATTCCAAATGAGAATTCTACTCCATCCATCACTTCTACCACAATTATTTCCAATTCTCTTTGCCTTTCAATTCCCCATCTGATAGTCGGTTGCAGGCTACAACGCTCGATATTTTTTTTTGCCTGTTGCTTCTCATTTCCATAACATGAATCTGGCTACCTGCACCATGTCCAAACTTCTCCTAAGAGAAGAAGCATCCAATTTTCTTTGGAAACAAATTTGTTTCCTTTCTGCCTTCTCTTCCAATTTACACACGAATACAAAAACATCCCGTGAGTAGCTAGTGCTTATTATCCTGGTGTTTTCATTTCTCTTGGAATGTCATTCTCCCCTTAGCTCGAAATGATGAATTCCATTTACACATCAGCTTGCTTTAGCCATGACTGTCAGCTTCAGGCTAACCTACCAATAACAGTAGTTGTTTGTTCCTGGCACCACAGGACTATACCCAAATAATTCAATAAATACAACTTCGAGTATTTAATATTAATAAAGTTAAGTATTACTAATTAAGTTAAAAATAACCCTCATTTTACAAATTTATTTTTACAAAGTCCCAAGTTCATGAATGTTCAGAGTAAAGAAACAGATGAAGTCAAGTTCCGGGTCTGCTGAATCATTTGCAAGGCACAATGAAATGTGCAGACTTTCCTTGATTTATGGAACTAGGGACTCTCAGAGCATAAAAAGGCCTGAAGGCCACTCCCACCGTGAACAGACTTTCTACCACCGTCCCCCAGACAGATGGCCTTGCAGTAGGCTTTGCCTCCACACCTCTTACTGCTCTCCATCCACCAAGGCAGACCGAATTCTAGGGGTTAGGAAGCGGTTTCTGACATTCAGACAAGAGCCGCCCCCTTGATCATCTCTCTACTCGTCTGAGGTTTGCTTTCTGCAGCAACACAAAACAAGCTTATTTCCTCTGGGACATAACATTCCTTCACACATCGTGTAAATCTTTTACTTTCTTCTTTGGAATAAATATCCCAAACAGGACATGAACTTTCGATCCTTTATCATCCCAGTCACCTGTTATGCTCAGGTCAACTTTTCTTTAAAAGCAAGTATTCAGAGGGGCGCCTGGGTGGCTCAGTCGGTGAAGCGTCCGACTTTGGCTCAGGTCATGATCTCGCGGTTCGTGAGTTCAAGCCCCGCGTCAGGCTCTGTGCTGACAGCTCAGAGCCTGGAGCCTGCTTCAGATTCTGTGTCTCCCTCTCTCTCTCTCTGACCCTCCCCCGTTCATGCTCTGTCTCTCTCTGTCTCAACAATAAATAAACGTTAAAGAAAAAAATTTAAAAAATAAAAGTATTCAGAATCAAGCACGGCATTTCACAGGGTTTCCACTGCTCTTAGGCTAAAATTAAAAAACCTGTAATATGATCTACAAAGCCCTCTAGAAGCTGGCCTCTGCCCATCTCACCAGTCTCAGCTGTCCTGATCTTCCTTAATTCCTAGAAGGCACCATGTTCCTTCCTCCCTCAGGGCGTTTGCACATGCTATTCCCATACCCATGTCTCCAACCCTCACTTTGGCTGGTTAACACATACTCATCCTTCAGATTGAGGCTTACTGGGCCCTCAGAAGAACCTTTCCTGACCTCTTCTCTCCACGTAGTCAAGCCAGGGTTCCTACTCTTGGCTCTCCTGGCACCCTTATTCTTCTCTATAGCACTCAATACAATAACAAGCATAAAATGTAATTTGTTATGTGGTGTCCATCTTCCCATTAAACCACAAACTCTATAAGGAAACGGACAAGTCTGCCCAGTAGAGCATTGAATCCCCTGTATGAACTCATGTCTGCACAAAGTAAGTGCTCAATAAATACTTACAAGATGAACAACACCCAATAGAATTATCCCTCTCCATAAGCCGGACACTATTCCCCTACTTGTTAGCTTTTCTGCCCCACATCCACAACACGTTCATTTAAAACACCCTACTACATAGTGGCTATCAAGTAGCTTGATTCTGAACACAAGGCTGGACAATTAGCCAAGCCCTTGAAGAACTCACAGATTAGTGGAAGAGATCAACGTATAAAACCACAAACTCAAATCTGTATTTGTACTCAGAAAAAATATACACACAAAGGGTCGTGAAAGCACAAAATAAGATTCCCACGGCCTGTGGCAAGGGGAAAGGAGGCCAGGAGACAGAAATGCTTCAGGAGGTGGCATCTGAGCAAAGAACATACCTGAATCTACTAAAACATCAGCTCTACAACATTAAGCAAATCACCTTCCTCTGAGTCTCTGGTCCTGCACCTGTAAAACGAGGGGCGTTCTGGCGGATGACCTTTAGGAGCCCGCCTAGGCCTAAAAGCCTAAATACTACACCTCCGACATTAATAAATACACTATAGGTCAGGCAATACGCTAAGTACTTAGGTGGATTATCTAATGTATCAATACAGGTACTGCTATCATCCCATTTTAAGATGAGATCACTGAGGCAGCAATATGAGGCGATTTGTTCCAGGGTCACCAAGCGATACAGGCTTTGCTCAGGCACTGATTCCACAGCCAGGATCCCTGAGGGTTGTGCTATAATACCATTTTTTAATTCCAGCTTGGTTAGAAAACATCGTATGCAGCTTGGTCCCTCTTTTGAGTTGTTTAGAAGGATTTACACCAAAATGTTAACCAGAGTTATATCGGAGTATGGCAATTATGGATTTTTTTCTTTAACATACTTCCCAAATTTCCTACAATAAATTTGTATTAATTGAATCATCAAAAAACATTTTTAGAAAGAAAACATTCTACATAGTGTTATAAATAGCATAACTTACATTGTTGAGGCCTTTCCAAGTTCAGAATATTAGCTACTCATCCCAAATTCAGGCCACTGGCAAATTTGATCAACGTATCTATAATTCTCATTCAAGACATAAAAAATGTAGATGCAGACAAGGGCACCAAAGACCCTTGTCATGACCTTATTAATACATATCTTTTGACACAGTGGTTCAGGCAATCATAAAACCAGACACCCTATTTTTATTTATTCAACTCACTCAACAAAGTTTGGGGATTTTGGGGGCGCCTGGGGGACTCAGTCGGTTGAGCATCTGACTTCAGCTCAGGTCATGATCTCATGGTCTGTGAGTTCGAGCCCCGTGTCAGGCTCTGTGCTGACAGCTCGGGGCCTGGAGCTTGCTTCGGATTCTGGGTCTCCCTCTCTCTCTGCCCCTCCCCCGCTTGCACTCTGTCTCTCAAAAATAAACAAACGTTAAAAAAAAAAGTTTGGGAATTTTTTTTTAAGATTTTATTTTTAAGTCATCTCTACACCCAATGTGGGGTTCGAATTTACAACCCCAAGATCAAGGGTCACACACTCCACCGACTGAGCCAGCCAGGCGCTCAACAGTTTCAACAGTGCTTCCCACTTGTCACTAGGCTCCTGTATGGCACAAGCCTCCCACTGGCCTCTGGATGTAGCGATTCCATTACTCAAAATGGTGCCAATACTTTACCTATCATTGGCATTTATCAAGTGCTTTTGTGGGCAAGAAAATACATAGGATCTTTACGTATGTGATTTCATTTACTCCTCATAAATAACTTCATACGAGGTAAAAACTACTGTTCCCATTTTACGGGTAGGAAAAGTGAGGATCAGACCTCCCTGCAAGGTTACAACATCAGCCTGCTGCAAAGCTGGCTTCTAATCTCAGGTCTGTCCTACCCAGACCCCAGGGTCCCAGGGGCTCTTCGGTATTTCCCCTTCCTCCTCCCAGAAAAGTGGCCACCCCACTGGCTAGCTGAAAACTCCAATTCCCAAACCTCTAAATCCTAAAGCTTGATTATCACTGAAAAATCACCAAAGAGAAACCCTAATACCAACTCGAGGAATTTCAGCTTCAACACGTTGGATGAACTGACCTTCAGCAACCAATCCGTCAACGGAATCACCTGTTGGTTTTTTGAGAAAACACACACCTTCCTTGGCCCAAGGTCCTGTAACTCACGCCTCTACAAGAGGCTTTCTGCCCTGCAGCCCTCCTCTTTTCCAGGAGAGAAGTCAACCGTCCCAGAAACCAGTTTCCAGCTCTGGCTTGATTGAAATTGAAGGCACCTTTCCCCTCCCTAGTGAGCGGAGTATACTGATGCTCCGTTATTCTCTCTCCCCACTGCCCGTGGATGAGAATCTAGGCCACTTTTGCAAGTTCATGAAGAAAATCTCTAGTCTCCAGTCCTCCTTCCTGCAACAAACGACCCCTGGTTGAGGCAACGGTGGCTGAGACAAGTTACAAAGAGGCGAGGCTGGCAAGAGGCCGGGCGGGCACTCGCCCCGGGGTCAGGTCCTAACTTGGGGTG